TCAGAAAAAATTAAAAATTGCAGAAGTTATAATTTGAAAAAAATAGAAATAAAGAAAAATAAAACAAGTAGTCTTTGTTATGTTAATAAACTGAGAAACTTTTGTTTTCGTATCCCCCTCTTTGTAGTTTTCTGTAAAAAAACTATTGTTTCTATATTTTCAATTTCGCAGTTTTAAGTTGGATAAGCAAAAACTTACTTATTTTCACCGTAATATATTCTAATTCTGAATTAGACTAAGATTACAGTCTGAACCTACGGTACTGTTTTCACTGCACTTTATCACAGAAAAACATTTCACATTCTCTCATACTCTATGTTTAGTGACATAACAGAGAGAAAATTTTATTTTTTGAAAATTTGTTTTTATATTTAAAGTTTTATAATTGATTACTTCCAATTTGACAGGTTGGAAGCTGTTTATACGACAGTGCTTAATATGTCGTAATACCATATGAGGTACATACGCTTTTTTGATATGACAGTTTTTTTTGCTTTCGTGTGATGCTTCAATTCAAAAAGTTCTATTGTCTTTCTTTAAATTTATTTTAAAAAAAGTTTGGTGAATAAACTCTATAAACTGTACAACAACCTGCAGTATTTTTGCTTACAGAAACTTTGTTTTAACTTCATTTACATTCTCTTATTTAAACACGTACTTCAAAATTTGTATTTTCAACTAACCTGTAAAACATTTTTTGCTATTCATTTTCTTCTTCAGAAGCAGAAAAAATACCAAGAACAGGGCATGTTTTTTCGACTGACATTTTTCTATACGATTTTCTGAAAGAGATAGTTTAACCGCGACTTATCTACTTTTTCAAACAAAGCATTTGAAGCAATAAAGTTTTTTGATATTGCTACTTTGATAAATAAGGTAGCAGAAGTCAGTGCGAACATATTTTTACATCAAAAAGTAGCAAAATTTAAGTAATTCTTGTTTCTTATTTCGCCTGAGAAGTAGCGACCGAGACAGGTTTTTAAAAATAAAAATAGAGAAGCAAATCTTAACGGTAAGAAATTTTTTTAAAAATTGTTGGTTCCAACATTTTGCCTGTCCGCTGAAACTGCGAAGCTGTTAGGACTAAGAATGAGAATAAGAGTATATGGAAATAAATTAAACTCTGAAAATTGTTTGGCATTATTAACTATTAATTGCGTGTTGCGAAGTAATTTAATCAGTAATATCTTTATTGTTGAAGAAGGACTTTAACTGCTGGTATAGACGTGTCTACCTGTGTATGAAAACAGTGCATATATATAAACAGTATTAGAACCAAAAAGTTAACTGTTAAAAAAAACTATTTATGAAAGAAATTAACAAATAGAAGTCTTTTTACCAAAATAAACACTTTTTTTAGACCTCTTACGTTTACTTCTATTTAAACGTCTTAGAGCTGTGTTCAATTACAAATTTGTCACTTTTAAAACAAATTGTAGAAATTCAGTCTCTTCCATTACTATACACATCCTCTTAGACACAATTTTTAAAATCCCTGGTAATTTCGTGCTAAGAATCCGCATGTTTTTTCTTCTAATTTTCTAAACCGTACCACTCAAAAATTTTATGTTTACATCATGTACATCTGTATATCACTGACACTTCCTTTCCTAATGAAACTCCATTCACAGCAACCCGCTTTTAATCCAGGGCCGTTACAGTTAAAGATCTCTGTCAGCTTTGCTTTATAAAACAATATCGCTTGAAAACTCCATGTAAGCCAATATTTTAAAACTATTTGCCTCATAGATAAAAGAGCAGTTGAGAGCAGCAACTAACATAATCAGTGGATATTTAGGTACAAAAATGAATCCAATTCAAATGACTATCATCAGCAGCTGACCAACAGTTCTGACGTAATTTCGGTGCACAACGGACGTTTGTTGTTAAAAGTGAAGCGTATGCAACGAATGCAACAAAGCTTTCTCTTTAACCTACGTTACTGTCCACTATAGAAAATATTAGCCAATTTCTGCTATTGTGTTTGCGGTAACTGGTAAGACATTAGCTTTCAACACATTACAAATATTGAATAAACAAGTTGACTTTTTCTAACACTTTGCTCTTGAGGTTAATGCGCTTTTTGTTTGTAGATCTAACCAGACCGGAGTATTTGTAACTTCCGGTTCAAATAAACTGGTATCTAATGCGCCTTAATCCAAGTACGTCACTTATAAAACGTCACCATATAAATCAAATATATACTAAAGGATAATTTGTAAACGAAGAAAAGTCAAAAATCCTCAGAAATGAAGCGTTAAAAAACTCCGATTTTCCGTAAAAACTGTCATTCATAGACGAGGCATGAGAGAGGAGAAGTTGAGGAGTAATAAAACTTGCAATACCGTACTTCCACAGGGAAATGAGGTTATATCTCTGAAGAAGCAAGTAAAAAAACAGTTTTGAAGGATTTCTAAAGCAGAAAACCAAAAATTTTTTTCTTTATTGTAAGTATAGCAGAATATAGTTCAGTTTCCCTTTAAAAGTTTTAAACGTTTAAGACGAGAGAAACTCATTTTAATTGAGCGAAATGCTTTTGAGCAAAAAATTCTAAATAAGGAACTTAATTGCAGATCCCATCATTATCCACAGCACTGGAACTCAGTTACTAGAAAATTTTCTGCAAAAACACCTACAAGCCTGTGGAAGCAAAAAACGACAAACAACTCTTCGTAAAAGAAGTTGAACCAGCTATCACACCGTATTTACCATTTTGAATAAACTGCTACTCAAGAACCTGAATCCAGAATCACATTACTTCGTAGTTTCACTGAGAACTCTAAAGGCGGCTCATCAAAACTTGTGTAATGGTTTAAACGTTCATTTTGACAGTTAGAAACGCAGATGCGGTTCACGATTTTGGCTCTGCACAGCTGTACTAAATTTATATTGAAAATCAACCAAAGTAATGAACTCAATTCGACTGTGTACCGTTACGACAGCGAGATTTAAACAAGGAACTACTTTATCCATCACTCAAAAATAGCAACTTTTATAAAAGACAATTGGAAAAATGCTTGACAGTCAGGTGAAAACAATAACGTAGAAGACAATGTTTCACTTATTAGAAAGACGGTAAACAACAGAAATTTCCGTCTATTAGCGATCACTAGTGAGATCGAACCGCTGGGGTATGATTTTCTTCTGTACCGTGGAAGCTCTTCATTGTGATTTGGCGAAACCGTGACTGACTACGAATACTCAAGCAGGAAAATGCCGTCTATATCTTGTTACTCATCAGTAAAAGACTATTCACAATAAAACGATGCAGTTACGTAGATAATGAATCGTAAAACGCAAGCACGTAAATTATACAAATCTCGGTGCTCTATCCATTTCAAAAATAACATTCCTTAGATTTACAAGCTCCTGCCATCACAATGTTAGAGTCTTTAGACCTATTAGAACAAGAGGGAGAAGAGTTAGATAAACAACTGTAGTTTGGTTTCCACCGTAAACATCCGGTCCGCTTACTTCAAAAACTAAGCATATACAGAACTTAGATTGAATGAAAATATTGACTTTACCTCACAATGCCCCAAATTCAATATGAGAGGTACGGCGTCCGAAGCAGAGTTTCCTCAGTCTTCTCCACTTTTAAACTCAATGCTTTTTCACGAACATCGGCGTACACTGGAGATGAACTGTAAAAAAAATTATTATAAAATTATGGGAACCTTAAAAGCACATCACTGTTTACCTGTATCTTCTAAAAAAAGTAAAAACCTTAAAAATTCACAAAAGTCTTTACATGCAGCCGCCACAACACAACGACAGCTGCGGGTTACTGCTTTTACAGTTTTTAATCAGCAATGATTTAGAATAAAAAATTGAAGTCACAAACAAACATTTGTTCACAATCTCTCTGAAACCTAAGGTGAGAAACACTGCTGGCAATGGAAGACAACATGATTTTTTCCCGTAATTTTTAATAAGCGACAGATATATCAAGCCGTAAATATCTCATACATAACAACGTGCAAAGAACTTACATATCGCGTTCACCAAAATTATCCAAGATCGTTACAATTAATTTGTCTTTATTCTCCGGTTCTTTAGCGAGCGTTAATGCTGCACAAACGTTTGCTCCAGATGAGATCCCTAAACTACCGAAATTCAATTTTCAGTCTGAAAACTTTTCTCAGTACTTACTTGTCACTTACCGACTAAAAGTCCTTCTTCAGTGGCGAGTCTACGAGTCATCGTCATCGCATCCTCTGAGCGAATGCGCAGAACTCTCTTGTATAGTGTTGTATCCAAAACAGTTGGAACAAATCCTGCTCCCATCCCTAAATTAAACTTTTTAGGTCACTTTTGCGGCTTATGAAGTAAGAAGTGAAAAGTATGCTTACAAGAAAAAAGAAGTACCTGGGATTATATGAGGGTGAAAACGTTCCCCCGACAAAACAGCCGCTTCATCAGGCTCACAAGCAATAATCTGTAAACGAAAATTTCTTTAAAAAATATCACATTATTACTGGACTCAAATGACTAGTAACAAAAGACATTACGGCTGTTGAAACGTTTCGCGTTTGAGTTAAGCGATAATCAGTTACCACACAGTTAGTAATTATTGACATATAACAAGCTGTTAAAGAAAAATTAACGTTATATGATAAATACGAAAGTTTATAATAACCCAAAATCAAAGTTTTGTAAATAAATGGTAAAATATTACCTCAACTTTTGGATTTTTCTCCATCAAGTACCGACCTACTCCTGTCAAAACACCTCCGCTGCCAACACCAAAGACAGCAATATCAACTTTGCCTCCAGTTTGTTCCCAAATTTCTGGACCAGTAGTATCGTGATGTGCTTCAGGATTAGCTGCATTTTTATACTAAAAATTTCTCAAAGTAAGTTCCTGAAGACTCAAAGTGCAGTGTATGACAAAACAAAGCTTTAGAAGACACGGAAATGCGGCATAGAAGTACAAAAAATGCAATTTTAATTAATTACTTTTAAAGAGAACTAGGAAAAAAACTGATTACGACCTGATTAAGTAAATATGAATTGGGAATACGTTTCGCAAGTTCCTTCGCTTTCGCTGTTGCTGCTTTCAGTCCTTCCTCACCATTTGTAAGTACTACCTCAGCTCCGAAAGCCATCACTACCATACGTCTTTCAAGACTTATACTATCAGGCATAATTAATACCAATCTGTACCCTTTAATGGCAGCAACATGTGCGAGAGCAATACCATTGTTACCTGAAATATGTCATGCGGTAATAACTTTTAGAAAAGCATACAATTTTATCCGGTTAAAAAGAGCACAGCATTATGCTAATA